GTAAACTTAAAAAAATGAACGGTTATATAAGAAATTAAAAAAAAGAAGTTTGTTTTACATATCAAGAAAGAAGTTTACTCGGATATAATAATTACATTAATATTCTTTGTGTGAGCTTCACCCATAACACCAGGGGGCGTGTTAGCCAAAGGGAGATCAATCCTGGTTACTAATTTATAAAATCTAAGCCCGTGACGAAACATAAAATAACCGAAATGTTAAGGCGGACTGTCGGTCCTTGTGACTTGCTTATGATAAAATGATTTTGTTATCAGTTGGCGTTATTTGAAGCGACTGTGTCCAAATTTAAAGCAATGATGAACAATAATGATATTATTAAATACAGGGGTTAGCGAGAGATTTTCCGATATTTTCATCTAACCTACCCACAATACTTCCGTCTGATTTCATGGTAAGGACTTAGCTTAACTGACAATAATGTTTACTTAAGCAGACGTTGATTCAGTAACTGAGGAAGAAAAATGTGAAATTTAAAATAGAGTTTTCTATTGAATGTGATATTTAAAAGTCAAAATAGTTGTTCAAATAATTACTGTAGGATTTTTATTAAAGTGCTTGTCATTAAATCATTAAAATCTGTGAAATATTTAAGGAATACGTAAGTCATATAAAATAATCAGTGCCATAGATGATACAAGCTTAGACGATCATGGCTCTTTTGATTCATGACTGACTAGGCAGATGATCTTCCCGCAGAAGTTTGCCGTTTCTTTCTGCGGTAGATTGCTTGCCAAACAAGAAGATAGGACCCAGGCTTCTATGCTATTCAACTTATAGCTGAACTCAAAATAAGAGATGTGTTCATAAATTTTGCAAGGGTATGCGGTGGGCTAATGGATAGCGGCTCGATTTGAGGATTCGGAGAGCCGAGTTCGAATTACTGTCGAATCAATTATATTCACTTATGTGTTAATACCCTTGGGAAAAGTATGAATCCTCTTCTTCTCCGTCCAGCTATGGTTAATAACAGGACATACCGGATTCTCTAGCCTTGGATGGCAATTGGTCTACCTCAGAAAGAAATGGCAACCTACTGCTGGAAAATATCTGCCTCCTCAGTCATGTATCGAAAGATACATGATCGCCTAACCGTGTATCACGTATGGCACATAACTGACCGATTTACACGTAAGTGAATGTATATAATGCTTAACCAAAAAGTACTGACCCATGATTCTCGGCATTTTTATTTAAGAATAGGAAAAATTTAATTTAAATAATAATTTATTTCTTCTTTCAGGAAAGATATTTATTATCTATGAATTATATTTTTAAATTCATTATTTCATATAAATTTCTATCAAGCATAACACAAATGCCTGTAGCTTTCATAAGAGAACAACTGACACAAGTCTTTGGGTACCCCAGCAATCATTTTACCATTCTTTGTAAATCCCACGTTGAGTTTTCGCATCACTTCATAGAGGTCAAGAACGTGAAGTCATGTCTCTTTAAAACGATACAGGCTTTTATAGAATTCGATCTTTGGGCTCTTATCTTGTAGGATAATGCTCTTATTCGAGAGGACAAGTGAATTTCAAATTTCCTGGGATTTCCCATTCTTTCTTCCGATTTTGCAATGTTCTTTGGAAATTACGCACTACTTACCTGTGGAGTTCCCTCCCTTTTTCACGTTTCCCTGATAGCTATAATCCCCAACTCTCTAAATGTACTGTCAATCGACGTCTCAGAGAGGCCTTATCTATCCCCTATCCTTCTCTTTATCCTTTCCTCTATTACTATTCTTTGCTCTCACTCCAACTCTCTGTAACCCTTTGATATTAATTTCATGATTCACAATTTTATAACTTGGTTCAAAAGTTCAAGATAATTATTTTTCCCATTATGAGTCCCATTATAAAGCAACTATGGCTCTTTCTCATTATCACGCACCTATTATTCTTCCCCATTATAAAGTAAATGAACTTCTTCCTCATTATCAAGCAAATGAGCTTCTTTCTGTCGGAATTATGGGATTCTCTTGAATTTCAAAGTCTCAGTGAATGTTAATTATTTTCTTATTTCTGACCGCTTATGAATCAAGATTTAATTATATCTTCGTAATTTGAAATCTCTGTCGCTTGAACGATTCCAAGTCGATAAACCTTCTCACCCAATCATTATTATTTATACTCATTGTGAGCAAAGTCGGAGAGACTAGGGAAACCCATTGAAGATTCTCCTTCTAATGGGGCTCAAGACAAAGGATTGTTTCCTTGACGTTTCATGATGGAGTCTTGAAATAAGAATTTCAGTCACATGAACAATTCCCAGAGCGTCACAATTCTCAATCAGTCATTAATATTTTCTACTCTTTGTGAGCAAAATCGTAGAGACAAGGGAAATACCATGAAGATTCTCCTTCTAATGTTGCTCTCGGCGAAGGATTAATTAATTAATTTAATAATCAGTCGCTTGAACAATTCCCAGTGGTTCATCATTCACACCCAGTCATACTTATTTTTACACTTATTTTTACGAAATCGTAGAGGCTAGGGAAACCTTTTGAGGATCATCCTTCATATGTTGCTCTTGGCGAAGGATTATTATCTTGAAGATTATCCTTCTTATGTTGCTCTTGGCCAAGGATTCTTATCTTGAAGATTATCCTTCTTATGTTGCTCTCGTCGAAGGATTCTTATCTCGAAGATTATCCTTCTTATGTTGCTCTCGGTGAAGGATTATTATCTTGAAGATTATCCTTCTTATATTGCTCTCGTCGAAGGATTCTTATCTTGAAGATTATCCTTCTTATGTTGCTCTCGGTGAAGGATTATTATCTTGAAGATTATCCTTCTTATATTGCTCTCGGTGAAGGATTCTTATCTTGAAGATTATCCTTCTTATGTTGCTCTAGGCGAAGGATTCTTATCTTGAAGATTATCCTTCTTTTGTTGCTCTCGTCGAAGGATTCTTATCTTGAAAATTATCCTTCTTATGTTGCCCTCGGAGAAGGATTCTTATCTTAAAGTTTACTAATGAAATTTTTTAATCTCCGTCACTTGAAAAGTCGCAAGTGATTCAACATCCTCATACAGTTATTCTTATTTTTACACTTTTATTTTTCCGAAACCGTAGAAGGTAGGTAAACCCTTTGAAGATCATCCTTCATATGTTGCTCTAGGCCAAGGATTCTTATCTTGAAGATTATCCTTCTTATGTTGCTCTTGGCGAAGGATTGTTTCCTTGAAGTTTAATAATGGAGCATGGGACATTTAATTCTCTGTCGCTGGGATAATTCCGAGTGATTCACACTTCTCTCGTAGTCATTCTTACTTCTAGCCATTCTGAGCAAAATCTTAGACGCTGGGGAAACCCTTTGGCGATTCTTCTTCATATGTTGCTCACTGTGATGGGTTGTTTTCTTGAAATTTAATAATGGAGACATAAACTTTAAATCTCCACCACTTGAACAATTCCTACTGGTTCCCCCTTCTCATCCAGTCTTTTTGATTTCTTCTCATTCTGAGCAAATTAGTAGAGACAAGGTAAACCCTTTGAAACTTCTCCTTCATATGTTGCTCACGGCGAAGGATTGTTTGCTTGAAGTTGAATAATAGATTATTGAACAATTCCCAGTAATTCACCCTTCTCACATAGTCTTTCTTACTTCTAGCCATTCTTACCAAAATCATAGATGCTAGGGGAAACCGTTGAAGATTATCCGTCTTATGTTGCTCTCAGTGAAGGATTCTGTTATGGGCTCCACCCTTTTTCATACAAGTGGACTCGACCACTGTGTACTTGTTATGCTGCTGTTAAATACCCAGAGTCAGAGTAGACAGAGTGATTGAGTTGGAGGTATAGTAATAGTGTGAGGTAACCGCTTGTAGGAGTCACAGTTGCGAGCAGGTAGACTCTAAGTAAGTCCTATTTCGAGACTGAATTTACCAGACTGTATATATATATATATATTATTATTGCTACTAACCGCGTTTCTGGATCTACTAACCGTATTACCAATAGTATTTATTGTGTAAATACATTTATTTTTTATATTTCATTCCTGCGTTTGTCATTCATTGGAGACCGGATTTCATCTCGGAATGCACAACAAATTCTTATCTTGAAGTTTTCTAATGGAGTCTTTAAATCTCAATCACTTGAACAATTCCCAATCGTCCACAATTCCCACCGAGTCATTCTTATTTTTACGCGCGTGCTCGCGTTACTATGTATATGCTTATATATGTATTGTACTGTAGTTTCACAGTGGAGGCTTGTATTTCACTCAGTCGGTTCTAAAAATGGTTCGACGTACAAAACGTTAGGAACTTGAAATAATAGTTAATGGCGCAGCAATCTAGTTGTGGTGGTTGATACTTTAATGTCAGACATCGACTCACTCGACCAACTAACTGAGGATATTCAGTCACGCCTCAACTGGGGGATCATGTGGCACAAGGCCGGTTATTTAATGTGGGATCTCCAAGCCCGTGGGCTCGGCCCCAAAATATGTCCATTGAACGGGTTCAGTGTCGGTTTACCTCCCCGAAAGAGATTCGTTCGGGTTCCTCCACACCCGAAGGAAGAGAGTTCAACCGGTCAGCTGGTCGTCCGACTTTAGACTGAACTCAGACCAACTCACTGAGGCTATTTAGTCACTGCCCCACCCAGTCACATATGGCACAAGGCCGAGTTTAATGTGGGGTTTGGCCAGAAATATGTCCATTGAACCCGTATAAACGGTTTCAGGGTCGGTTTACCTCCCCGAAAGAGACCCTGTCCCTCGGCGTAGCCTCGTTCGGGTTCCTCCCCGCGCGAAGGCAGAGAGTTCAACCGGTCAGCTGGTCGTTTGACTTCAGACTGAACTCAGACCAACTCACTGAGCTTCACTGGCGACTGCTACTACTACTACTTATTATCTGTGGGAGAGTCTATTAACAATAGATTAGGTATGTTCCGGTATAACAATAAGGGTTGCCCCTATTTTTTATGCTGTCATATGATTTATTAAATCTTTTAATTTCTTTTTTCAGAAAGCAGACATGGCACTCGCTCCGTTCAGTGTTACTCCGGAAAGATCAAGCGTTGTGGACTTCACGAAATCCTTTATGACGAAAGGTACCACAGTTGTTGTCAAGAAACCTCAGCGGACAGTGTGGATGTTTCAGTTTTTGTTTCCCCTTTCTAACTACGTGTGGATTGCAATTTTCGTATCATTTGTTGTGGTCAGTCTGGCCTTGTTCGGCGTGAGTCGAGTCAACGCCGACAAGCATCGTAAATACACACACAACTTCTTGGAAAGCTTTTGGTACATTTGGGGAACTCTTTTGCGCGGGAGTCTGAAAAGCTCTCCGCTGGCCGTTTCGAGTCGTATAATCAGCAGCTCTTGGTGGCTTTTTTCTCTTATCATCATTTCAGTATACACCGCCAATTTAGCCGCTTTTCTTACTGTCACCAATATATATCTGCCAATTGAGAACGCTGCCGACCTGGCGTTCCAGAATACTTACGACTACGGAACGGTTAACGGCAGTCAAATTGAGGATTTTTTCAAGCATACAAATATCAGTCACTACAGTAAAATGTGGCTGCACATGAAACTAACCCCAGGAAGCATTGTCCAGCGTGTTGAACACGGCCTGGAAAGAGCTAGAAACAGTAAATATGCCTTCATTTGGGATTCACCAACATTGCGGTGGGAAATCGCCGACAAGTGCGATTTGATGGAAATAGGCAACCCGTTCGACCTGAAAGGTTACGGATTTGCTGTGCGAAAAGACACCCCTTTTACAGAGGCTCTTTCCAACGCTATCTTAAAACTTGGGGACACAGGCGAACGACAAAAAATCGAAGGAAAGTAAGTAAAATCTTTGAATTCTTGTTGGAAGTTAATTCTGCTTTTCAGAGTTCGTGCATATATGCGTGCGAATAGGCAGGAAACAGAATGATTTTAATGAATAATAGAACAGGGTTTAGGAGACATAACAATATTTACTAAGTGCTATGAAGGGCAGGAAGTTGTTGAGAGTGATAATTGCCAAAGTTCTGAAGTGACACGGCACATAGAAGAAGATATAAGATTAGATGCAATTATATGATAACTATGTGGACGTATGTAAGACATTAAAAACATTTTTTAAAGCATTTCACCCCAAACAAGATGGGATGCATTTTTTATTTACGTATTCATAAAATCATAGCGTTTTCTGCCTATTCTTGCAGATATATGCAGGTATAGGTATTTTTCTTGTCGATAAATCAACGGTGAACTAAGGCTTTCTGTGATCATACTTCGTTAACTATGTCTGCTTTCGTCTTTATATATTCGTCTTTTCATGTCGATGAAAGTCCATTACACTCTGTAAGTTTCAATGGCTATCAAAAGTAATAAGTAAATTGCTGTAAATCAATTCGGATATTGATTCCTAACGGTAAAACAGTATTTTTTCATAAAAAAAAACAAAACAATTCAGTTGAATGAACAAAACCTCCTTAAAAATGTACACATAGAAATCTTTTAATTAGATTTGTCATAAATCAACCATTCAGCCTTGCATGGAATACTGCTGCCATATATGGTCTGAGTCCCTGCTGTTTGTCTTAAGGCCATCGACAAAATCAAAACGGATATGCAATGTGATTAGCCCTGATCTGACATCTCGTCGCTCTCTCACAGACGTGCCGTCGCTTCCCTCTGTCTTTTCTACAAATACTTTCACGATAACTGCTCCAAACTGCATGAATTTAAGCGTGCTACTAGGCTGATACCCGAACTTTCACTGTCGAAACAGTTAAATGAAACCGTCTCTTCTACTCCAACAGCTTCTTCTCTCGCACTTCCCGTCTGTGGAATTCTCGTCCTCTTTCTTGTTTCCCTGATAGCTATGATCTTTAAATATTCAAATGTAATGTCAATCGACATCTCCAGATGCCTTGATCTATTCCCCGTCCTTCTCTTCATCTTTTCCTCTATCACGCCTCTACTAATCTTGCTCCCACTCTCTGTAACCCCTTTGCGTGCCAGTGGCATCCAGCCTTGCTTGGGATGAAATGCTTAAATTTTTTTTTTTTTTTTTTTAAATGTCTTACATAAGTCGACAGAGTTATACTATAACTGCATCTAATCTTACATCTTTACATCTTCTTCTATGTGCCGTGTCACTTCAGAACTTTTGGGATTATCACCCTCCACAATTTCATGTCCTCTATAGCACTTAGTAAATGTTGTTATGTCTCCTAAACCCTGTTCTATTATTCATTTACACAAACCCGTTATGTAAGCTATATTCTGTTTTCATCTCGCCATTTTATCTTCAATATATTTTGTGTGTTTCAAAATTTCCAAGACCCTAGATTTTTTGGTTAGTTTGAAAATTTAGCACCTGTACTCAGTTTTTATTAAAAATTTCCAGAATACTTACATTTAGGTGTAATTGTACATGCTTCATTCGAATCTGGTTTCATAAATTTGATAAAATCTACCTTGTGCCATCGTATTTTGAGGTCTTGTTGGAAATCCGGCGAAACTGTATGATCCTTTTAATTATCAGCTATTAGCCTCCTACCTCTTTTTGGAATATTACGAGTGTCGTTAATGAATGTCACACACAACTACTTTGAAAGCTTCTAGCACATTTGGGGAACTCTTTTGAGCGGGAGTCTGGAATGCTCTCCGCTGGCCGTTTCGAGTATTGCTAGTGACTCTAATGAATGTCAGGTTGGTTCAGCATGTCACTTCGCAGATTTTTCTTTCAGACAAGCAATATGGCTTCCGTTTATATCGGTCAACTTCTGATGTGTTAACATTTATTGTTTGAAGAGTCTATCAAGCTTTCGATAAGATTAAGAAGATAGTTCTGCTGCTTGGAACAACTTGTCATTGGATTTGACATATGCTTGTCATCTTCACAACCAGAAAGATATTTCTAAACGAATTTTAAATGTCGTTCAATCTTTCTGATAGAATCGCGTTACAGTCCAGTCATGAGATTCACTTAAGTTTATTACATTTGGAATGGTATGAGTACATCTCTTCTACCTCCAGATAATAGTAAATAGAAGAACAGACAGGTGCCGTTAGCCTTGCGTGGGAAACGGACTGGGAGAAGTACACTCAGGTGGATTTTAGGGCGTTGTAGTACTATAACCAGATATGTGCGAGTAGTCAAGCTGTTCGGTTCTAACAACTCAGCTAAAAGACCCTTATATTTGCAACACGACTAGAGTGTCTACCATATATATATATATATATATATATATATATATATATATATATATATATATAGGTTGAGGGAGAAAAAATTAAAACAGTAAGAAATACTAAATTTGGATATATATGTAATTCTACATGTAACCCAAAAATCTATATTATTGGCAGAGACGAGACGCCAGCTCTCAGGTCTTCTTCTTTCCGATAATCTCAACAAAAAGTAAACTTTAGATTTTCTCATTTCCCCATCCCTGTCTCACCACATACATACATACATCGATACATACATACATATATATTTATAAATATATATATATATATATATATATATATATATATATATATATATATATATGTAGTTAGATGAAGTGGAAGTGAAGCATTGTGCATTTTTACAATGTTTTTCAGTAATACATTTTACTCTAAAAAAAGATATTTTATTTTCGTAAAAAATTCGTTCATATATTCGCGTTTTAGACATTGACTTATTTTTTATGTTCTCAATGATATATATATATATATATATATATATATATATATAAATGATCTGAATATTTTCCGCAGCTTATCAAAGTTAAAAAGTTTTCCTTCATCTCAATTTTTTCTCACCTTTTTCGTTCAAATGCTTTTTTTCCCAATTCCATTCTTTCTAATCGAGGGTTAAGTCGACTGGTCTTCGAGAAAAAAAATACTGCAAGAACTTTCGCTTCCCTTTTAACAATCGGCAGCCATGAATGACATCCTTTTAAGACGAAAAAACAACTATCAAAAATGCAGCACAATATATATATATATATATATATATATATATATATATATATATATATATATATATATATATATATTTTGTGTGTGTGCGTAAATCGGAAGTGGGAAGCTATTTCCTTGAGATTTTACCGAAAGAAATGATGTGCTTTTTTCGGTATTCGATACAAAACAAAGAAAAATATTGTGTACTATTCAATACATTTGCTAATGTTTAAAAATGCTAATATATATCTATTCAATAGATGCATTACCCGGAGGAAAAAAAAACAAAAAAAAAACTACTTATCTGCATTAACGCAAGTCTTTGTGTTTCCACACCCAAAGTGCATCTAAAAAGCAACTGATATAAAACACTATTTATCAGTTTTGTTTCGGAATCGATCATCATTCGATCCTATTTCTCTCTCTCTCTCTCTCTCTCTCTCTCTAACCAATCATCATTCGATACTCTCTCTCTCTCTTTATATATATATATATATATATATATATATATATATATATGTATGTATATATATATTATAATTATTTTTTTAAATGTGATTCCATCGCTACACAAGAATTACCATGTTTCAAAAACAAAAGCTAAAAACTTGAAACATGGTAATTCCTGTGTAGCAATGCAATCATATATATTTTTTTAAATAATTATAATCTAGGCTGTAGTTGTGTATTGAGCAAAAATAAAAAAAACAAAAATACTAAAGTACTTCGGGTCATCAATATAATGGTTCCTTCATATTTTATTAATATATTTGCACACACACACACACACACACACACACACACACACACATATATATATATATATATATATATATATATATATATATATATTGATAATTTATGATAAATACAAAACATTCGCCGTAAACATTTTTGCCGGGGAAAAATCGCCGTAGGAATTTTCGCCGTATAGGATTTCAGGATGTCCCTGACAATTGAACGACTGGTGCGACGAACATCATCAAGCTACCAAAACCGTGTACAACCATCGGAATGGAGAACATTCGAATCTTCTACGCTTTTAGAGAAAGTGAGAACAGACATGATAATGATGGATCTTCTGTGTGCCCTTGCCAAACAGATCTGATAGAAGAGGTTTCCTCTGACTTTAGATCCTCACCGACGATTGAAGCAGGTGATAATGAAGACGATTAAAACATATACCTTACGTTTATATCAACACGATAAGAGACCTTGTTTTTGAATACCATTTCACTCGGTAATAAAGCCAAAAAAGACGCAGTGTGGGCGTTAATGAGTTTGAAATAACACGAGAAAAAAAACACTATTAAGGGGAAGAGAACAATAAAAGAACAGGAATTAAGAAGATAGAAGATGATGATTTTTCGTTGCTAATTACAGGATTATTAGCCTTGTGGATTAAATCGTTGGTTAGAATTTGGTGATATAGCTATTGCGAGTTCAATCTCTGGAAAGGTCGGACAGTATGTACTTGGTCTCAGTACAAGAACAGAGCCGGTTTAAAGAATATAGAAAGAAAAAAAACCGGATGGATTGAATTGTCACCAAATTCTAGTTTTATTTCACTTGGTTATTGGCCTGTGTAATAAGATAATAACTACACAAGATATGACTAGAAAGATGAACAAGAAGAATCTACCGGCCTAGATTAAATAACTCTTCATCTGGTTTATGTTGGTCCTTGTAACCTACACAGAATCCTGAACTGAACACTTTATATAATCAACTGAGACGGATTGTTCTCCTTCCAGTGCTCATGCCTAGCGATATCTTCTTTAGGCCTTATTGCCTACCACGGAGATTAACGGATTGCTACTAGAATTTGGTGTCATAGTAGTTTTGAGTTCAATCCCTGTTCTAGGCAATGTAAATTTTTTAAAGTTTTTATCAATACTATTT